AACTTGTCATTGCAAATGAAAGTCTTGGTTACTATTTTAACCTCTGTTCCCTGATGGAGGGAATGAGACGATGTGTCGAGTACTGGCACTAGGGGTCGCACCCCTGTCGGTAAACTCATGTCTTCCCCTAGCCCAGAGCTCCGCCTCTGTCAGTCACTGTGTTTGTAGTGTGCTACTTCCGGGTTGGTAAGTCCATGCGATATATTCTCCACAAACCTCTCCTCGGGCAGGATGTGATCTCCGTAGTGTTCTTTCTCCTACCGAGGAGGAAGAGCACTTCTCTAGTGCTAACTTCTAATTTAAAAGAAAAAAAAAGTGACAAGGTCAAAAGACTGACTGAAGCAACCTATTCCCATTGTAAGTACTGTCCTTTCTGTCCCCGCGTTGTTCGATGGACTACATGGCTTACGTGTGGTGTTGGGAAGGTCACGATGTTGCGAGTGCACTTGTTACCCGACAAGCTTACTGGTCTGCACCACCAAAACCTTGTAACTCGTTTCAGCTGTTGTGGTGCTTTCCATTGGGACCCCTAGTGTCAGTACTCAACACAACGTCGAAGTGACCTCCTGTCACAACACTGAACTCCCCGCCGAATGGCTGGCACAAGTTCTCGGCTCCTCAGCACAAACCTGAAGGAGTGGATGCACGCCATCTCCTTTTATACCCGTAAGTCCGGGGGAGTAGCACAAGCAAATTCCACTTGCCAATTCTCATTGACTTTCTCAAAATATCAGAGGTGTTTGGGGCTCCCAAGTGCGACCTCCAAGTGTCAGTACCCGACACAATGTCGAAGTGACTGACAGATAGGGAACATTTGTATTTCCATTAGGCGCAGTTTGGATGCTGCATCAAAACCTTCAGTAAGGACAATATTCAAGCCCTCAATACTGAAACCGTTTAAGCCTTTTCTCTGTTTAATCCATCACTGCATATAGGGAATTTAAAACTGTAAGAAGCACTGTGCATCTTAGCAAGCTGTGTATTGTGGCAACTTGATATGGTTTAACTGTTTTACATAGGCCCATATGGGCCATTGCAATTGCAAACAGTTTTGCATTTGTTAGTATGTGTGTTGGGACATGGAGGGGAAAAAAACATAATAAACATATACTATAACACAGCAAATAGATATACTGTTGTTATTAGTAAACTATACTTTGCATTCCCTATAGTCAACAAATCCTCAGTAAATGCTGTAAGTGTTTTTAGAATTTTCAGTAATCAATTCAGCTTTTGTAATTTTCAAGTTATTTTGTTTCAACCTATAACTTAAGAATTAGTTTCAAGTCCATTTATATAGGCCTAGATAAAGCTTCTAAATCCATACACAAATTATTTATTTTCAATTGAGATATTCCAAGAGCCTCTAAGAGCTTTTTTGGTTTGTGCCCAGAGATTTGTCATGTTTGTTTCCACAGGTTTGCCAGTGATAAAATTAGGCTACTCAGTCAACGCTGACCCTATAAGTTGAGTGGTAGATCTTTCATCCTAAATCAAATATAGCTTTTAACCAAACAGAATAAAAAAGGATTGTACCAAGAGGTAACAAAGCTATGTGCAACTTCCTGCACAATTAATAAATCTTTGTGCCCTGTTGCAAATGTTTAGTGTCAATCAGCAATGATGTATACTATGTAGATTCTTAAACAGTGTTGAAAATTATTGTCTCTTTTTTTATGTATAAAAATGGTGTTGGCTAAACAATATTAAATAGAACAAATTTGCTTCCTTTCTCTCTTGTTAACATAATGTTCTTAGCAGATACCTATCAAAGAATTACTCTCTCAAACAGTAAAAGGCCTACATAAGTTAAAACACTACTTTACTCTAGTTGGAGTTGTGGGACAGTGGAAAGTTTTAACAGAGACAGTTAAATTTGCATCTATTTTCAGCTACCAATTAATCATGCTTGAACCCACATTAAAGGGTTAGTTCACCCAAAAATGAAAATTATGTCATTAATGACTCACCCTTATGTCGTTCCAAACCCGTAAGACCTCCGTTCATCTTCTGAACACAGTTTAAGATATTTTAGATTTAGTCCGAGAGCTTTCTGTCCCTCCATTGAAAATGAATGTACGGTTTTGTTAAGTGTCACGGGCCCACCGGTGGGCCCAAATCCATTACATTTTTAAAACAGTAATATCCTATACTAAACCTAAACTAATCTTGACAAACTATATATCATTTGAAAGCTTACAATCTCTAGTTTCTATATGTGGGATTGATTTTCAAAATAAATTACAGAGGAGCCGTAATTTATCAATTTGCAACAAGAACATTTTCATACTCCTTTATTCCTTTATAGACCTTTATTTTGAAATAGTGATGAACATGAAAAATCATGAAAGAAGGGTAGAAACCTCAGTTTGTTTTCATGGCAAGAGTTCAAAAGATAGCATCCATTCAATTATTTTAGAAAAAAAGGTCTGAAATTTTTTTAAATATAAAGAAAAAAATTATAGATTCACCATTTGTGACATGGCAGCAAGCTGCCTATAACGCACATACTTGTTGTTTTTATGTTTCTTAGAGGTTGAATTCATATCAAAATCTGCCAAACTTCTCATATTACTTCTGAATAGGATGTCTACTTCATAAATTGTATGAAAATTGTGGAAATAATGGTTCAGATCACTCAACACACATATGGAAATGGTGGCGCCCTTATATGGGCAGTAATGGAGTCTGGTTGTGACCTAGTGAAAAAGTTTGGTACTGCGCCCAAACAAAATCTTACTGAAAGCTCATTGTTTGAGATATCAACCTAAAATTTGAAACACAACTTGTTCAGATTTTTGGCTTTGATTTTTTTTGCAGTTTTAGAGTCGCCCAGGTTTTGAAAATATATATTTTATATAAAATATGAATAATTATTTTTTTTTACATTGTACATTTTCATAAACTCAAACTTCTATAACTTTTTTCTGTTTCACTTTCCTAATTTATTTCACTTCTACAAAAATCTGCCAAATGTCTTCTTTAAAACGAGACCAATCTTACGTCTATATTTAGCCTGGGAAAACCCAGACAACTTCCGGCAAATTTAGATTTGCTCTGAAAGTTAGTCTGGCAAAGAGCTCATTCAAGCTCATTTCCAATCCGCCGAAATCGCGGCACCAATCAGAAACGTTGGGGCGGGCTTTACACGATGACGACAGCGCTGGGATTTTGAAGCAGATTTTGTAGCCTACATACAAAGATGGATGCCGCCGTCGAACATCACTCATTCGAATCAGCTATCGCGTCTGTTTTAAGCGATTTGAACGTTTCCCTTTTGTTAAAAACCGAGCAAAGAACAACACTCGGAGATGTTTCTGCCGCTCTGCATACGTCATCTCCTTCAACGCTCTGATTGGTTTTAGGTCTATCCGCGACGTCCGTTGGTGACGCCCCTCTGGAAATGATTTGTCTATGACGCTTTGCCAGACCATAACTCAGTTACAACTGAGAATGGTCTGGTTTTAACCAGGCTAGTCTATATTCCAAAGCATTCTTGAATTACAACCATTTAAGTTCGAAATGTGCATTTTCATGTATATTCAAAAAAAGGGGGGTGACAGTTAACAGGATATGTCCTCGTCCAGTAAGGAAATAAAGACATCGTCTAAGTAGTCCATGTGGCATCAGTGGGTTAGTTAGAATTTTTTGAAGCATCGAAAATACATTTTGGTCGAAAAATAACAAAAACTACGACTTTATTCAGCATTGTATTGTCTTCCGGTTCTGTTGTCAATCCGCTTCAGTGACGCTGATGCCGTAAGACGCTGCTGACGTGTTATCTGGTGCGTCCGTGTATTCGGGTTCAAATAAATATGGCTGGGCAAAAAAATGCAAGTCTTCCTCTGTGTCGAAATCCTTAGACATGTTTGCGAAGATTGTTTTGTTTACAGCATGCGTCTCCCTTAGACTGTAAACGAAGCTCGGGCGCACCAGATAACATGTCAGCAGCGTCTTACGTCATCAGTATCACTGAACGCGGATTGACAACAGAACCGGAAGACAATACAATGCTGAATAAAGTCGTAGTTTTTGTTATTTTTCGACCAAAATGTATTTTCGATGCTTCAAAAAATTCTAACTAACCCACTGATGTCACTTTGATGATGTCTTTATTTCCTTTCTGGACAAGGACATATACCGTATACATTTTCAATAGAGGGACAGAAAACTCTCGGACTAAATCTAAAATATCTTAAACTGTGTTCCGAAGATGAACGGAGGTCTTACGGGCTTGGAACGACATGAGGGTGAGTCATTAATGACATAATTTTCATTTTTGGGTGAACTAACCCTTTAACAGGTGATGCACTTGGAAGTGAAAACAGTTGAGAGCATACAGAGGCTGCAGTATAATAATATTGACACTATTAAATATTTAGGATGTTTGATAATGCATCCTAAATGTTTTATGTAGTGTAAACATAAATTACAAAAAAGAAACATGCCACACGAAAAAGGCCCAATTGATTAGGCTGTAGGCTACCAGAGGACCTGAGTGGGTTGACGAAAGCCTTGTGCAAATGTGTCTCAAATGATCATACCAACAAACGTTGTTACAACGTCGTTGTACTAAATTTACTAATGTCAGAAAATTTGGAAGTGAAACTGACACTTAAATATGTGGATTGAGAATGGGGTCTCAGTTCTTTCTCTTATCAGAAAGAGGAAACGGACGCACTATACAAATAATGTTCACACAGTTCACACAAATGTTTTAGTTAGTTATTTAAAATATATGACGGAGAAGCACTGGGAATTCTGGCATTCGTTTCTGCTGCATTTGTTCAGTGTGTGTTTGTTTACCCCTAAATCTGCAGGAAAAAGTCGTCTATTTCAAGAAAGGAGAGTGTGAAATAAGATCAGGACGTGTGAGCGAGTGTGTGTGTGTGTGTGTGTGAGAGAGAGAGAGAGAGAGAGAGAGAGAGAGAGAGAGAGAGAGAGAGAGAGAGAGAGAGAGAGAGAGAGAGAGAGAGAGAGAGAGAGAGAGAGAGAGAGAGAGAGAGAGAGATGAAACCGTCAAATCCTCGTCGTTCACCTTTAAAATACATCACCGCAGTGCTCGCGTATACACTGGCGCGCGCATCGGAAGGGCTCGCTGCACCACTGCACCTGTTCTCGAGGTTGCAAATCACAGGAAGTCGCTGTGCAAAAACGGCATATTCGTCGAGCTAGGTTTAGCATTAAAGACGTCAGTTCGACAAGAATTACGCGAGGGGAAAGAGAGACTAGACAGCTGTCAGACATCGCTTTGTTGTTGGTGAGTTTCATTCGACACCGCTATTTTTAATGCGAGTGACACCAAATGCCACTGATGCAACCGGCATTAAGACAGTAGCAGCGTCATGTTAGTGAGAAAGGATGTGCTGCTCGTTTGCTTCTTTGTTCATTTTCGGTTACTTCGTCCTGTTCCGCTTGGCATGTAGCAGCCAATGATTCATATCGTGCGAGCAGCCTTTGTTGTTATTATGAAATTAAACTGCTCATCTAAACACTAATGTTATTGTAAAGAGATAATATTTGTGAAATAATAATAATGTAGGCTAGATTTGTTTTAGCGTAGACGAGTCTGTTCAGAGGCAGGCAGATTATTAACTGCATTCACACAGTTCGCACTGCACATCCACACTGCCCTCTTTTTTAGCGACATTTGGATGAAATGTAGTGCATAGATGCTCATAAGAAAGAAACGGCACATCAGCACAAAAACGATGCTGAGAAAGACAGCCTTGGGACGGTTCTAGGGTCAGTGGATATTCAGGGTTTATCCCAGACATCTGTGGATACGTGTAGAGCCATCCATTGAGTAAATGTTGAACATGATGTGGCCTAATAGCTATAGGCTACTTTATATGTTAAAGGTTTATATATATATTTTTTTTTATTAGGTCCAAACAGCTAAACGTTACTGGAGCTAAAACTAAACAGTCTTAACATAATTGTGAGGGTAAAAAAAAAAAGGTTGGGTTTATCAAACTTTGCGAGGTTCATGGCATAATAAATGATTTTTTGCAAGAACCCCAAATGGCCTCACTTGTGTCTAGCTGTATATTTTGCTTTATGCTTATGAAATATTGGTTGCTTTTTACATCTGACCAAAACGATAACAATTTTTTTTAGTGCAGGGCAGTGCACAGACATTTTGGGGGGCGAGTGCTCAAGTTAGTTACCGTAGAACATCTTTAAATTACTTTAATTTATGTGTGTGTGTATGTATGTATTTATTTATTTATTTATTTAAATAAATAAATAAATAAATAAATAAATAAATAGGATTTATTTTCTTGGCATTATGCTGGAATTGGTAAATGAGCAAAATCATTGTTGTGCATTACTGACAGTTATTACTATTTATCATTACTATTATAACTAATCTATTATTACCTATGCATTAAAGTACACTCTAAAAAATGCTGGGTTGTTTTAACCCATGTTTGGGTCAAATGTGGACAAACCCAACCGTTGGGTTGAAAATGTAATTAAAAAATTGAAACAACGGTTGGGTTCGTCCATATTTGACCCAAACATGTAGAGCCCTGCACGGGCCTCAAATCTAGGCCCTAGCCCGGCCCTGCCCCGAGACGCTCAGGCCCTAGCCCGGCCCGTGTCCGACAGCTCATCAGAATGATCAGCCCGAGTCCGACCCGAGCCCGTAAAAAAAAAAAAAGAAAAAAAAAAAGATAAACAGCCTGACCTATGTTGCAGTCAGTAAACCAACCAGATATATTTTGTTTTCAATGGCAAAGTATTTACCGGTAGGTTTATTTTCATTTCTTTATAAAGTTAATTAAGAAAAAACAAAAAACAAAATTTATGACGACCAAGCAGCCGACAGCGAGTTAAACATGTTTGATCCATTGATTGATTTATAGCCTCTCAAATCAACACTTTACTTGGCTACAATAAAATCCATAGATATAAAACAACTTAAGCATATCACACAGACATTTAACGTTAGTTTAAACGTTTATTGTCATTTTTGAAAAGCTGAGGCAAACTGCTCTGCTGCTCAGTCGCAACAGCGCTCGCAAACTAAATGAATTTATAATATAGGCTACAATACAGAGAATGCAATCTAAACAAATCAAATAAATTACATTAAAAACAAACATGCAGGTTATCTTACCTCAAAAATCAAGTCTTCACTACAGAACATGGCCATTTCCAATAGTTTCCAACAGACTCATGAAAATAAAGTCCAATCAAACAAAAAACAACCTCCTCCTAACATGGCTAAGAACAGTCTCAGAGCATCGTGAAGAAAAAGCACAGCATCCACAGTGGAAGGTTTTAATCCAGTCGTACTTTTTCCAGCTGCGCTGAAGTCACGCTCGCTACCATAGCGGGACACTAGAACGAGCCGGTCGCGCGAATCTCAGATCGCGCCGCCGGGAAACCTGTGTGTGTGTGTGTGTGTGTGTGCGTGAGCGTGAGCATGAGCAGACTGTCATGTGTCAGTCTTATGTCAGTGTGATAGGTTATAAAACGTCTTTCTATGTTTGCTTTTCAATCGTCATCTTCTCATGTTTTATTTTAATTAATGTCTAAAATAGGCTATAAAAAAGATAAGCCTAAAACAGGCCCGAGGCCCGGCCCGCGTGTGAACTATGACGTGAAAATTGGCCCGAAGCCCGGCCCTAGGAGCATAAATAAGTCGGGGCCCGTCGGGCTCGGGCTGAAATGCAGGCCTCTACAAACATGGGTTGAAACAACCCAGCATTTTTTAGAGTGTACAGTTGCTGGAATTATGCTATGAAATGAGTGTTTTAAATGTTCATTTTTGAAATATGAAATGAAAAAATGAAATTATACTTTTCTGTATATTTTTACATAAAACAAAACCGCCAGTAGGTGGCGGCAAGTTTTAATAAGCGAGTCAAAATAAAAAATTATTCATTCACTGAATCGTTCAAAGCAGCTGATTCATTCATAAACGAACACCATGCAGTTAAGCCGCAACTTTTGCTTTGGTCAGAACTATTTTCGTTTGTGAAATAGAGCAAAAACAGTCTAAATGTAGGCTACAATAGGCCTACTGTGTTTAAAATTTTAAATTGATATCAACTTTGTTTGTGGAACTGTTGTATTAAAATCAAAATACTAAAATTGCATTTGCAATCGTGCTGATATTCGGGAAAACAGCACTTTTGCTCGTGTGATATTGCTCAACATGATATAAACATAAAAGGCAAAATTCATATCTTGAATTTTGCGGGCATTTTTTATTAATGTTGGTGGTGGTATTTTCGACCCTTAACGAAGCTATTTTACGCCAACGCCAGACTCTCTTGAGTTAATGTAGGCCTTATAGTGTATATTAGGCTGGCTCTTTGTAGGCAGATATTGCAATAGTGCAATACTTATTTTAAATAAAAACTCAAATATAAAATAATTAAATATAAAGATAATAATTATATATAAAAAATATATAACAAAATCCACTTATGATGCAGAAAAGGGCATTAGGTGCTTGAGCACCACTTGGGGTCTGTGCACGTGCCTTAGTGTCGATGGCAACTAGACATTTTATCCTAAAAAGCTCCCATGCATTATTGGTTGTAATTCAGTTTTGAACTAGTGCAATTTTAGATATTTGTAATGCAGTTTTTACTTGGGATGCACAGATTTTGTACCTGGATTGGTATCTGCACGGACATGGACTTGGTTGTCAAATGTGTCAGACAAATCCAATATTGTGCATCACCCATGGATGTTATTGCTATTCCCAACAATTGTGTGTGTATGTATATATACATATATATATTTAAGCCTATATAGGCTATATATATATATATATATATATATATATATATAATTTGTTTTTGTTTAGCTATAGACTCTGTTTACTCTTTATTTATAATGCATTTTTGTGTAGTTGGCATGTTAGTGATGTATAGATATTCTAAACTGGTTAAACTCTTAAGTGTCACACCCCCTTTTTTGAATAAACATGAAAATGCACAATCCGAACTTAAATGGTTGTAATTCAAGAATGCTTTGGAATATAGATGTAAGATTGGTCTTGTTTTAAACAAGACATTTGGCAGATGTTTGTAGAAGTTAAATAAATTAAGAAAGTGAAACAACAAAAAAAAAGTTATAGAAGTTTGAGTTTATGAAAATGTAAACATTTTATTATTCATATTTTATATAAAATATATTTTTTCAAAAACTGGTGGAGTCTAAAGCTGCAAGAAAATCAAAGCCAAAACGCTAAACAAGTTGTGTTTCAAATTTTAGGTTGATATAAAATGAGCTTTCAGTAAGATTTTTTTGGGCGCAGTACCAAACTTTTTCACTAGGTCACAACCAGACTCCATTACTGCCCATATAAGGGCGCCTCCATTTCCATATGTGTTCAATCACCAAATATGAAAACTACAGATTCTAAGCTTTCAAATGATATGTAGTCAATATTAGTTTAGGTTTAGTATAGGATATTACTGTTTTAAATATGTAATGGCTATGGTGCAACTTAAGGGGTTAAGAAAGAAAGCAGTCCTATGTATCGGATCTGTATTGGCTAATAAGCATAATTCAGTTATCGGAATCCGAAAAGCAAAAGTGGAATTGGTCCACCTCCTAATTTTGACTAGTAATAATTCACATCGAAGATATCTGAAAATGCAATTTTGTAATAATTCATTTGGGGGATATTTACAATGCAAGGTTGACTAGTAATTCACTTGTCTGAATTGACTTCCATTGTTTTGTTTTGCTTTTTATTTTAGATATCTGCAGTTGTGTTTTTACAAGTAACAATTCTAATTTAAGTTCAATTCAAGCTGTCTAATAGAAATAAAACAAAAAATATGAATATGAATCTCAAAAAATGAGAATTGCCAGACAAAGTGACTGTAATTAACTGTAAAAAAAAACAATTACAGTCATAATTCAGTTTTGAGTAGTCAGAATTATATTTATACTATAGTCAAATCAAATGAAAGAAAGGCCTATCTGAAATGATTAAATTTAGTGAGTATTATTATAACTAGAAATAATTTTAAGATCTTAACAAGTGAAATTATGAGTATTATCATCAAATTCATTATTACTAAATGTAATTAAAGACATCTACAAGAGTAATTCTTACTAGTCAGAATTGCATTTTAGAGCTCTTTATTCAACTCATTATGGTAATTGCATCCATGTGATAAAGCGTTGTGGGCAGTGAATAAGTCCAAGAAATAAGTCCTTGTGCAGGAGTTAAATCAGTTGCAGTCAGAGCATTAACACTTGAATCTCCTGTATCTCTGGGAGTCATCTGGACTCAAATTATGAATTGTACAATAGTATTTAGTTTTACATTGAAAATGGATCGATGGATTGAAGAATGTTGAATATAAATAAACTTTAAAAAAATATGTTTTGCCAATATCCAAAACTGACAACGTCTACCTCAGGCAAGATTTGGAAAGAAAGAGATACAAATAAATAAACTATAAACAGGTTTTTTTTTTTTTTTTTTTTTTTTTGCATGATGAAAACAAGTAGAAATTCTATTGAGCTCTATAATAGATCAAATTATGTCTTGTCAAAATTGAGATCAAAAACATTGATTAATTGTGTGAAAGTGTGTTATCTGTATTTTAACTATTTCAACTGCATGTTTGCTAATAAAGTTTTTATCAGTAAAAATTCCATAAGAGAGCTTTTTTTAAATAGCCTTAAATGCAGTTGTAGAGCACATGAATTAGATTTGTACTTGTCAAAACTGGATTACATTGGTGACACACTGGTGACATTTAAAGACAAATCTGCTTGCCATAGTATTCAGGGTCGTTTGACCAATGGGTGGCATAATAATTTAAATGAGATGTAATTTTGTTGCTGAATAAACTACTGTACATGCGCCAAACTTTATGTGTGACGCTACATCTGACAGAGTAGACTGTAGCTCTGAATGATTTTATTAAAACAAAGTTAATTTATCATGCATGTGTCTGGGATATTAATCTTCCTCTCCCTCCTTTACCCAACAATCCAGAATGTAGATATAGATTCTGAAAGAGGATGGGAGCAGACCAAATCATAACGCAAAAAAATCATGCAACATGGGCTAAAAAACCAGGCAAACAATGTTGCATATTTTATGAGTACTTTCCAATGTATTGGCAAAGTTTGCAGGAAGCCCCCTCCCCTTGTGAGCAGAGCAGCTATTGTGCAGGCCAGCTGGGTGGATGTGGTCTGATGTACGGAATAGTCTGTATGCTATTTTTGACTGAAAGGAAGTGTATAAAAATTATAACTGTTCTACCTATGCAACCACATCTTGTTTGCGCTAGCGTTTAGATAGGCCTCTGATTTTTTTTTGATTTTTTTTGTGCAAGACATATGTGTATTATTTGTTAGATTTGTTATGTAGGTGTCAGGTATTACATGCCCAATTACACACCTACATGTAGGCCTATACATTCAATGTTTTTTGTATTTTGCATATTTTTTGTTGTTGTTGTTGTACTAATTGTGAGCAGCCCCTTGGTCAAAACCAGCTCGCTTATACATTATTAAAAACCAATTATTAGTATGTCAGTGTGTGTATTTCAGGAATGGGGCACATTTGGTTACATTTTAATTTGGCAGTTTCACCAAAAAAGAAAGCTGGATTAGAGATGATTAATCTTTTTGGTAAGTGGTAAGGAGACCAACCAGCTGTCTGTGTGTGTGTGTGTGTGTGTGTGAGCTGCGCCCTGTACTGACCTACAGTATAGTGCCACTGGCTAGGGAAGGTTAACACTTTTTGAGAGAAATTAAAATTGAAGTAGGTGGAATTACTAACCCTATCCCATGCAGTCAGACGTTCTCTTCATCTGCAAGATCTCCCAGTGTATAAATAACTTCAAGCTAGTCAAGATCTTTGCACATAATAAAGTATAAACTGTACTGCAGAATTTACCACAGAATCTAATGTACTGCCTTACAAGCCAAGCACAAAGTGTATTTTACAAAAATGCTATCTAAATAACATTTATTATCATGTACAACCTATTAATAACCTACATGTCATTGTGTTTCAGGAATTCAGTGGAGGATGCAGCCGTGGTCTCTAAGGGCACAGAGCTTGTGGTTGGCCATGAACGTAGAGTCACGACGAGGTGTACCTGACTCAGAATAAACCAGACTGGGAGTCAATAGGAGGTCCAACTTTAATCCAAGCTGGGGTTTGGCCTATAACATTAATGATACTGTTGTGTATTAGAATTTAAGATGGTTAATGAGAGACTGAAATCCTATCTGGAGCCTGCGCGGCTGTTATTTTATTCCAAGGAAGAAGGTTGCGCTCAGCCCTTCTGAATATTTTAGTGAATGAGGAACCTATTGAACGGAGTTCTGCTGGCAGTGCTGGAGAATTTAGGTGTTCATGGCTAGAACAGAAACATTTGTGTCCGTCACTTAAGTTCCTCAAAAACTCCTGACTTATTCACACAGATGCAGTAATTTGGTGGGGAGAAGTAAGAAAAAGGGGCAAGGGGATCTGAAAAGTAAGAGCTTCCCACAACTTCAAATCATCAGGGCATCATGCAGTCAGACGATCTCTTCATCCGCAAGTTCCGCAGGCAGAGTCCACGCCCGCCCCTAGCGAGAGTGAGCTTTGACCCCAAGCAGGATGGTGGTAGTGTGCGGACACGAGTCGTGGCCGAATGGCCCCCCAGGAGAGAGCCAGAGGGAACAAACTGTGACAGCGTCACACCCAACGCAGCTACACTGAATCTAAGGACAGTTGGTCGTGGACACATAATGCAGCGCAGCAACAGTGATGTCACCCTTGGCGATTTGGATTCAACGGGACAGGTCGGGAGGAAGTTGCTCCGGGCAGGGGGGGACAAAACTCTAACTGCGGGGCAGGGGGAGTACCTCCACCGAGAATACGGCAGCCTCTCCTCGCTGGAGCGACAGACACAGTGCGTAGATCCTGGTGCCGAAGAACAAGGCGCTCTCAGTCCCAATGCCTTGCGCTTCAGAGATCCGTTTCTTCTTTTGGGGCTGCAAGAGGCACCTCCCGAGGTGGACGGCTTTTATAAAGCAATCTGTCCTCCAGCAGTAGACACTTCAAAACCAGTCAAGCCCCCGAAACCAGAGGGGCTCGGTAAAAAGGCCAAACCGTCCCCTCCGCAGGCCACTCAGTTTCCCTGTGAACAAGTCCCAGGCGGTGCTTGGGTGCGCAATTTTGCACACTATGACGTACAGAGTATCCTCTTCGACCTGACGGAGGCTGCCACTAATCGGGACAGCATTGGGCGCAAGAAGAACATCACATCTGGTGCGTCAGCTGCCTCTCAACTCCGTCCGCTCTCTCAATCCACACCTTCCTCAGTTTCTCAGGGTGGAGGGAGTGGCACGGGAAGTGGGATTAGTTCGGAAGATGTAGAGCAGTCTTTGCTGGACGAAGGAGATGGGAATGATAATGATCTCCTGCTCAGCTGTCCTCACTTTCGGAATGAGATGGGTGGCGAGGAGAGCGTGGGGCTTGGCCTGCACAGCAGGTGCAGGTGGAGGAGCCTTCAAAGCCCCAATGATGCTGTTTCAGTATTAGAGGAGCCCAGGGAGAGCCACGTCCAGCCCCAGGGGAAAAGTAACTACTTCATAGAGCATGCAGACCTTGGGGCTCGTTACTATCACAAGTACTTTTACATGAAAGGTGAGGGTGTGTAGCGAACCACTTTGGCTTGTTTGCTCTTTTTGAAGAAACATATCATATACTCGTTTTCATTGCTTAGTCTACTTCACTCTCAGAATAAATGTGAAAAAATGGACTTTTAGGGGTACAGCTTGGGCGTTAGCCTTAAAAGAGTGGTGCCCAATCCTTTTCCTGGAGATCTACCTTCCTGCAAAGTTCAGCTCCAAACTTGATCAAACAGCTCATCTGAAGCAGCTAATTAAGATATTCTAGAGCACTTGATAATTGCAGACCGGTGTGTTGGAGCAAGGTTGGAACTGAGCTTATCTTAAGGTATATCTCCCAAACACTTGTCTCCTTAATCCAACACACCTTCAGATCATCAGCTCATTAGTAGAGACTCGAGACCTGAAATGCGTGTATCAGACAAAGGACACATGCAAATTGTGCAGTATTGGTAGCGCTCCGGGAACGCGGTTGGAAACCCTTGCCTTAAAGGGTACTACTAAACACTGTAAGGCACATTTTACTCCTGGAGGGCCACCTGCCTGGAAGTTTCTAACAAAGCCTCTTGAAGGCAAGCCTGCAACCTTAGCCATAAAAAAAGAATAATGCCTGCTAATGCTGCGGTACTTAGTCAAGAGGCATGTTTTTTTGTTTTTGTTTTAAAGGATGTCAATGGAAGATATATAAAAATATGGCGGGCGCGCCAACGTGTCTGGAGTGGTGGAATGTGGCATCTTCTCATACATATCTATGGTGTGCACAGATCTGCACTTCGAATTCTAACCGGGAAAAGTAGACCATCGGGGTATCTTTAGGATACTCATTTGAACATACTATGATTTGGGACACACAAATTTTAATTTCAAATATTATTTAGGACGCATAGTATGCGAATTGGGACACAATTCACATAATTCACAATTCAGAGGCACATCTCTGTTTCTAGAAATCCTGAAGACCTTGATTAGCTGGTCCAGGTGTGTTTAATTAGGGTTGGAGCTGAACTCTGCAGGACAGTGATCCTCCAGGAACTGAGTTTGACACCCCTGCTACTAATATGCAACTTTTAGGGGTAGATAAGGTACAAAGTTGTCTCTTTTAGCCCCAGTGACAAGCTGTTGTAAAGGTGCAGTTTTTGTACTTTTTTTCTGACAGTGTTGTAACCATGTCTGTTATTGCTTTTGTCAAACCAACATACTATACTGTTATTGTATTCCTCTTGTTCTTTTGTATTTATTTGTCTTCTAAGACCAATTTTTATGACTGTAAAGGCCCCTTCACATCAAATGTGATGCAAAAGTTTAGTGAATAACTGCAGAGCTAAAGTGCAGCTTTGCCAGGCTTTGACGTAAGCGCTATTGGCTATCTAGTTCTGAACATTGACAAATATGTTCATACATAAAGACATAAATAAAAGTCTGATGTCAAAGTATTTTGAAAAAAGCTCAAAATAAATGCAGGTGGAAGACAGTTCACTCAGACTCTTGACAATATCAAACAGTAGTTTGGCCATGTATGCTTATTCATCTCTGTAATGAGCCTTTAAAGGTTTCACAATCATAGTTTTCTCTTATTCTAGTGTTTAATATTCTGGTGTTTGTTTATATTGTTTTCACTTTCACTATTTATTTATTTATTTACAGCATTTTGTATTAACTGTTAACTATTAATTGTTACCATTTTGTATTAATTATTAGCATATTTTCTTTCTTGTAAACCAGACCATCAGAATTTCTTTGGCATCGACGAGCGTTTGGGGCCAGTGGCTGTCAGTTTTCGCAGGGAGGAAAAAGAGGGATCAAGTGGGGCCCAGTACAACTACAGAATCATTTTCAGGACCACTGAAGTAAATACAAGACTCTCTCACACACAGAATAAGTCGGAAAAAAAAGACATTTTCCTTGAGGTCCACTTATGTTGCTACTAATTTACACTAGGAAAAAATGGTCAGAAATTAGACAATTTTCCACCCTCTGTCTTTACACTTTTTAGTTTGTTAAGGTTTTGTTTTTGTTTAGAATTAATGAGATCACAAGGAAATTCATACACAAATGTACTTTTAAGAAAAACAAAACAAACAACTCATAGCATTACATTATTACTCACTAACTCTAAAAGCACCTGTCCTCAGGCCATAACTCAGTACTTTACATAGATTAAGATATGTGTTCAACTTTTGACAGACAGAAAAATAAATTAGTATCTTTTAAAGAAACATTGCTACTATGACCTCTTAGGAGGCAGAGGTTCATTTTAAAATTCAATCTTTTTAATGAGGTTTTAAATAATTTTGAATACATGACTAATATGATCAACCTCAGGAAAAATATATATATATATATATGATATAACCCCTTTAAGTCTACATTATGTGTTTTGCTCTCATGAATTGGTCTTGTCCCTGTCATTTTCCTGCAGCTGAAGACCCTGAGAGGTTCAATCCTGGAGGAGTCTGTTCCCTCCGCAGCACGTCACACCACGCCACGCGGCCTTTCACCCAAGAGACTGCTGGAGTTTATTTTGCCTGATCTTAACCTACATTGCCTCAGACTGGCCTCCACTTCACCTAAAGTCAGAGACACACTCCTTAAACTGGATGAGCAGGGGGTAAGTGATTTTACATTGAGCTGCTTTCTGTAATTCTGGTGAACTTACAATTCGTGTTTGAAGGGTACTGAAACGCTAATAGAAATAAGGTGCATACAGAATGCATGTGGATATACTGTACATATGTATATACTGTATGACACTGGCAGTCAAAAGTTTGGAATAATTAAAAATGTTTGTCTCTTCTGCTCACCAAGCCTGCATTTATTGGATCAAAAATACAGTAAAAACTGTAATATTGTGAAATATTATTTATATGTGAATTATATAATTCAAAAGATCTGGTTTCAATTGTAATATATTTAAAAATTGAATTTATTCATTTGATGACAGCGCTGAATTTTTAGCATCATTACTCCAGTCTTCAGTGTCACATGATACTTCAGAATTCATTCTAATATGATGATTTGCTGCTAAAAAAAACATTTCTTATTATTATCAATGTTGAAAACAGTTGTGCTGCTTCATATTTTTGTGGAAAGCGTGATACACTACCATTTAAAAGTTTGAGGTAAGATATTTTAATAAACAATAGAAATTAATACTTTTATTCAACAAGGATGCATTCAATTGAAGTGACGGTTTAGACATTTAATGTTACAAAATATTTATTGTTTAAATAAATGATGTTCTTTTGACCTGTCTCTTCATAATAGAATCCTGGAAAAATCACAGTTCCACAAAATATTAAGCATCAAAAACTGTTTTATACATTGATAATTAAAACTATTTTTAATAAATGAGCACCAAAAATAATTCAGAGTAATTGAGCACTAAATCAGCATATTACAATGATTTCTAAAGGATCATGTGACACTGAAGACTGAAGTAATGATGCTGAAAAAAGATTTTAAAAACTTTTGAACACCTGTGTCAATATATACGTATGTATACGTGTGTTTATAGGCTTGAAAAGTGTTGTTATCCTCAACCATGTTTTCGAACAGACTATAAAAAATAAATGTATCATCTAGAAGCTAATTTTATCAACATTGCATACTGCATATCACATAGATGACCGCTAATAGACAGACTAAAGGCAACAAAACTTGAACATATACAGGTACTGTACACTGTTAACATGTCTGAAAGTGGCATTTGAAATGTGTCTGATGATTTGATTTCACAATGTTGTCAGTGATAAAGCCCAACAAAAGCCCTTTTTTTGTAGTTACGCTTGTGCATGCAGTGTGAAACAGGCTTAGTGAAAAAATGAGGAAGGATGGTGTTGTGTGTGTGTAGAAAACTAGTTGGATAAGCAACCGTAATTTCATCATTGTTAATGCGTGTGTATGTGTGTGTGTAAAGTTGAATTTCCAGCGTAAGGTGGGGGTTATGTACTGCAGAGCAGGACAGAGTACTGAAGAGGACATGTATAACAATGAGAGTGCTGGCCCAGTGTTTGACGAGTTTCTGGACCTTCTTGGAGACAGAGTGCGACTCAAGGCCTGGGAGAAATACAGAGCTCAACTAGACACCAAAAGTAAGAAAAAACCTCAAAACACACACACACACACAGACACACACGCACACACCATATTGGGTTTATGGGGACTTTCCATTGACATAATGATTTTGATAGTGTACAAACTGTATTCTATCCCATAACCCTAAGCACAACCCTCACATACAACTTTCTACATTATTACACTTTCAAAAAACATAATTTAGTATGATATATAAGCTGTTTTCCTCATGGGGGCCAAATAAATGTCCTCACAAGGTAAACACTTCCGTTATTACTGTCTTTGGGTTTACGAGTACCACAGACATTGTAATTGTAATTGCTTATTTTGCTTATTTTAAAAGGTAAAGTAAAATGTTATATTTTTAAAGAAATTAATACTTTTCTTCAGCAAGGATGCATTCAATTATTCAAATATGAGAGTAAAGACTTCTACATGGTATGAAAAAAATCAAATAAATGCTGTTCGTTTGAACTATTCTATTTATAAAATAATAATAAAACTAATAATAAGAAATGTTTTTTTTTTTGAGCAGAAAATCAACATATTTAATGATTTCTGAAGGCTAATGTGACACTGAAGACTGGAGTAATGATGCTGAAAATTCAGCTTTGCATCACAGGAATAAATTACATTTTAAAATATATTCACATAGTAAATAACAGATTTTGATTTGGTGTGTAATAATAATAGTGTTTGTGTGTTTGTAATTCGCAGCTGACTCCACGGGAACACACTCACTGTATACTCGCTACCAGGATTACGAGATCATGTTCCATGTCTCCACCATGCTTCCATACACATCCAACAATACACAACAGGTAACTCACAGAACTAGAGAATATCCCCTTAAAACAGGACAATGATATGAATCAGCAATAGAATAACTATTAGGAACTTATATCTATCTGCAAATTGTAAATATAAATGTGTTGAATTGCTTGTCTTTAATATATTGTTTGACAATATATAATATTCAAAATATAATAGTAAAGAGATGAAAAGTGTCACTGGTAACTTTCAATATAGCCCTTTTCAGTTTTTTATTTTTAGTCAAGCAAGAGACCTGGGTAGGGTTGCACCAACCATTAGTAATTTTGTACTGAAATTGGAACATAAAGTCCACACTAGAAACCTAGTAACTACTAGCTAACTCTGTACTTTTGACCATTTGTTCTTAAGGCAGAGCGTAGCTAGTAGTTCGTAAGCTCTCCATAATATATGTATTCCTATAGTAGCCTTCAAATACGTGACCAGAAGTTGTTGAAATGCTGAGAATTTCACTCCTTCATTCTAACATTTGCCTTACGTAACTAACAGTAAAAATTAGTTCAATTAAATACGATACTACTTAATCGTGATCATAATAGGTATTTTTATATAAATACTGATTTATTTATAAATGCATTTATTATGACTGATTTTATTTGACATGCACAACATGGATCGATGCACACAGCAGCGCAATGTTTAGGACGGGTTTGTGCTGAAGAGCCTCTAACAAAATAGTAACATATTCACACAATGTTCTCTGCTATTTTATTCCAAGCATTACTCCTGATCAGAGAGGCTTCCGTAAATATTTAGTTTATACGTATATAGAGTTTAATGGTGCAACGCAAAAATATTTGGTAGTGCGTAAGTTGTAACTGTAAGTTGTAACTTAGTCAAAACTAGGTTAAGTTGTAACACAGCTGGTGCAACCGGCCCTGGGGTCATGTGTAATAACTTTACAATAACAAAATGGGCATTGAAAAGTTTATATGCCATTTCCAACATACACATCAAATTTATGAAACGTAAACGTGCAGTGAACATATGTCTCCCCTGGTGAAAAAGAAGTACACTTTAGCATACTTTAAAAAACTCTACTTATTACAGAAAATAAATAATATACTTGAAAAGAATATACTTGCGTGTGAAAACATGAAGAATGTTTTCGGGCTCTTAAATTTCAGACTCTGAAAGCCAGTGCCTTGCGGGCACACTTTGAGAACCACTGCATTAAGGACACTTAAGTGGCCTTTTATTTAATTAATATTATATTATCTGCAAGTACAGTTTTTAAAAATATACTACTATAAGATTCGATGTACACAACACAAGTACACAAGTCACTGCATTTAGAATGAAATAATTAGAATAATTCACTACATTTAGAATACAAATTCTTTCCTCAAGCACTTCCGAGTTAACTAAGTTTCTGTTTTCTCTATTTCTCTTCTAGTTACTGAGGAAGAGGCACATAGGGAATGATATTATCACAATAGTCTTCCAAGAGCCAGGTGCTTTACCCTTCACCCCCAAAGCCATCCGTTCTCACTTTCAGCATGTGTTCATCATTGTCCAAGTACACGAGCCCTGCACCGACAACACCTATTACAGGTAAAAGAGTAGACACATTAAAAAAAAAAACATAAAATGTTAAAAAAAAATAAAAAAATGTCTTTATCTCCACCTTTCTCAGAGTTGCTGTAACTCGTTCCAAGGACATCCCGCTCTTTGGTCCTCTCTTCCCTAAAGGTGCACGCTTCCCCCGTTCTCCTGCCTTCCGTGACTTTCTCCTTGCCAAAGCCATTAATGCAGAGAACGCAGCTGAGAAAGCGGAAAAATTTCGTTCCATGGCCACACGCACACGGCAAGAGTACCTGAAAGACCTAGCGGAAAACTACGTCACCACCACACCCATTGATTCTTCCACCAAATTCCCGTTGCTTTCACTGGGCGGGAAGCGCAAAGAGAAGTTTAAGGGAGCTAAAGGCGCAGAGCTTCATAGCGCAGGCGCTTTAGTGTGGGCCGTCACCGTCGTTCAGGGCGGGGAGGGCAACGGTCTTAGCCTGTCCTGCCTGCTCGGCGTGTCAGCGGAGTCAGTCGTGCTCATAGAGCGATCCACTAGAACAGTCGTGTTCAATTGCAGCTGCCGTGATGTCATCGGCTGGAAGGCCGTGACTGAGACTGGAGCTCAGGGTGGCCTTTGCCTGGATATCTTCTACGAGAGAGGCGAGGCAGTGACCATGACGATGTTGGACAGCCAAGTTGAGGATATTAAGGAGGTTGTCCAGAGGCTGGAGGTGAGATGTGATGCAGTATGCAAATCTATATTACTTAAAGTGCCCCTATTATGCTATTTTAAAGTTTTCTAATTTGTTTTGAAGGTCTCTTAAAATAGGTTTACTTACATCCAGGGTCAAAAAACACTTTAATTTTCTCATAATATACATTGCAGCATCACAGTGTCTGAAATGGTTCGATCAAGGATCCGGTCTCTCTAAACCCCTCCTTTCCGAGAGCCTACTCTGCTCTGATTGGTCAGATGACCCTGTCTGTTGTGATTGGTCTACCACTCACCGTTTGTTTCGGAAACAAAACTCCTATTACCATATATAAATGTCAGCTCCTGTAATGATGGCTTCGGTTTTGCCATATCAATTCCAGTCCAAGTCCTTATCCTTTGGAAGTGCATGCAAAGTGGATTTGAAGACTTGTTTCGGGCACTTCCGAATATGTTCTTTCTTTTGGGAGACAATAACTCCATTTATCTGCACTTGGATCTTTAAAATTAAGAAGACATTCACAACCAGCTATATTACACGCTACATGAAAGGCAAAATCCGAATAAGCGTAATAGAGGCACTTTAATCCCATGAATTGTTAGCACTGTGGGATGAGGGATTTGATTTCAGAACATATAAATCGGTATATCTGTAATGTAAATACTGTTATTGTGAGCTTCGTAATGTTAATTGTCAATTCACACCGAATTATATTGCAAATATTGGTGCATCTGCTTTTTACTACATGTATCTGACCTTCATAAAATGGTTTTACTACTTTACTGTATGCTTTTACTGCTGCAGTAAATATTAAACAGTAGCATCCATCAAAATACAACAAAACTGTTGACATTTGCAAGTATTGCACTCTTGAATAAAAAAAAGACATACAATACAATATTATTACAAAGTAGGGATTGTCAATATAGGTAAATTAATTAACCACAATTAATTGTGTGATTCCAAACATGTTAAAGAACTGCATATTGTTCAATAAAAAAAGAAAAAAAAATGAAAATATGGTTTTAGTTTACATCTTGATATGTTGCTGTTTCTTATTCTCACCAAAGCCGTCTTTATTTAATCAAAATACCATAAAAACAGAAATATTGAAAAAATAAGACTGAGCTTTTATGATATGCAGTATGAGCTTTTATGATATGCAGTATGCCATTTTAACATGACACTTCTATGCTAACTCCCCTGGTAGCTGGTAACACGAGGCTGTGAGGCGCGTGAGATCACACCCCTGCGGGACGGAGTAGGTCAGCCTGGCTTCCTGATGAGCGAGGAAGGCTTTGTAACTGAGCTGCAGCGGTTTGGATATGCAGAGAGCGGTGGGCTGCAGTTGGGGGCTCGTGTTGTTCGTCTCTGTGGTCAGGTCCTGGTGCACCTCAGCCAGGAAGAGAGGAGCCGACTCCTCCGCACGGCACAGAAGATCCACATCACAGTCATTCCTCCAGACGAGAACGGGAAACCACGCAGGTAAAAGAGTTGATGGCTTATTTGCGTGTGAAAGAGGGTGGACAAAATGGAGAGATGATGTAAAGCACTCATACGCTGCAGTGATTTTTAGCAAAAAGTGGGCTGACTAGTAAAAATAGTTAGCAGAGAGTGGAGGATGGAGTGCTAAACTGTGCATATATGTATCAAACTACCATTCAAGCGTTTGGGGACGGTATGATTTTTCAATGTTTTAAAAGAAGTCTTGGTAACACTTTAGTTTAGGGTCCAATTCTTACTATTAACTAGATGCTTATATTAGCATGCATACTACTAGGATATTTGCTGTTTATTAGTACTTATAAAGCACATATTAATGCCTTATTCTGCATGACCATATTCTACATCCCTTAATCCTAACCCATACCTAAACTTAACAACTACCTAATTAACTATTAATAAGCAGTAATTTATTGAGTTAGTTTTTGGACCCTGAACTAAAGTGTGACCGAAGTCTCTTATGCTCACCAAAGCAGCCTTTATTTGATAAAAAATATAGTAAAAACAGTATTACAAAATATATTTGGGGGGGGGGGGGGGGAGGCAATGTCCCTAGGGAGGGAAACAGATGGATAGAGAGGGGAAGGAGCAATTGATTGAAGGACAGATCTCATTGTATTGTGAACATGTTTTAGCCAGTGTTTCACCAGCTGGCCAACTATCATTAAATTTTCATTATGCTTATTGATGGATCTAATCCAACACACACGAATACATCTTGGTTTTAAAACTGTATTTAAAAAAAAAAAAAAAAAAATCCTATATAAAGCGACTCACTCAGCATGATTTATGTAAGTCTTTGATTATATAACATACTTCAAAAAAGAGAACCAAAATAGTAGCATTGATCTTTTCACCCGTGACTAACTGTGCTGAAATAAATAAGCTGAAACTTTGAGGTTTTCACCACCGTTGCTCTTCACTTTCTTTTCCCTTTTTTCTTGTTCTTGTGTCTGACTTCAGGAGTTTCTCTGAGCTTTACCAGAAAGCCATCCAGGACGCAGAAAGCAAATCCGGAGAAGGACGATCGGGCGAAGCCTGGGTTCTGGACGACGATGAAGATGATGGTGATGATGATGAAGGGGAGGAAGAAGAGATGAAAGAGAATGAAAATAAGATGGACGACAGTGAAACTCCAAAGCAGGAACTACTTGGAGAGCAGATGGTATTTCCCGAGCCCATGGATACAGATTCGCTCCTCTCCCCACCCAGCTTGCCCCTCTTGCGGGCAACTTCCCTGCAGGACAGCATGAAGAGTCAGACCCCAGAAATCACCCCTGTCTCTCTCACACGAAGCTACTCATTAGAAGGACACCCTCCATGCCAGGACATCCTTGAAGGGTATACAGATTTCTGTTTGCCTACTTCTGATTTCACTATAACACTTAATAGATAATAACAACAACACCTGCCAATGGCAGTCAATTATTTTGTAAATCAGCCACAATTTAAAAGTGTGCATCACGTTGCAAACAAACTTTTACTTAAAGATGGATCTGTGCTAATTAACTATTAATTCTAATTCGTCAGCTGTGGTAACTGGTTGTTTCGATGTGTTAGGACTCATATACAGTTAACCCATGTTGCAAAATCATGATTAGGACTCAAAAAAAGTTGGTCATGTGTACCAAACGTATACTTAAAAGGAAAAGCAATAATGTTTTGACATTTTATAAGAAATCTTTGGTCTTTGGAAATCTGTGGTCTTATGTTGCGCTGTAAGGTGCATTCTTTGAAAATTATGAGTTCTAACACCAAAAGATTGCCTCTCTCAACCTTTACAAAGCACATGTAAATGTTTCACCATTGGTTATTTGGTTACCCTTGTGAAAAAGAAGTGCACTAAATTGTTTTCAATGTGCACTTGTAGTGTACTTCAAATCTTAAAAGTATATTTAAAAAAAAAACAGTATTTGCAGATAATATTAATAATATAAAAGGCCACTTAAGTGCACTTAAATACAGTTCCCTTTCATGACTACAGTATGCTTTTTTTAAAATGCACTTTGTAATAAACTCAAATGAAACATTTCAATGTACATTTTAAATCATTATGTTTTAAATAATGTTTTCTCATGCTTTAAAGAAGTACACTTATTTTGACGTGTTGACTAACATACTAAAACCCATGTAAAGTACGTGATTATAATTTTAACTGTAGTGTGTTATTTCGATATTGCATTTAGGCTAGTTAATATATTTAAATGTATAGGCTACTAAATTGCTTCTTCATTTGAAATGTGTAATTACAAATACATTTAAACTAAAGACATGACATACAAGTGTCAATAGAAATGACATTAAAGTATTTGAGTTTACCACAAATGCTTGTCAGTACATTCTGCTTTACTTTAACCATATTTTAAAGACATAGAAGTAATTATTAAATTACATATAAACAAGTTCTTAAGTCCTAATTAAGTGGTTCAAAAAAGCACTATAAAGATAATTCAAATTAATACAAATTTAAATTATGAGATATTTTCTTTTAATTACAAATAACATTCAGTTAAGCAAATGTCTGGAAACGTTACATTCAATTCACGCTGAAGTATATATTTTTAAAGTATTTCATTTCAGTAATACAGTAAGTACTCTTTTTAAAAGTATAGTAAAGTACACTTCTTTTTCACAATGGTAAGGAAGAATAAGCATGACCCCTTTAATTGGATAGCACTCACAAATAGACAACACAATTATTAACTAAATTAAATAGAGTTCATTTGTAGTAGTGAAGTGTGAAGCAATTGGATGTTGTAAAAAAGCAAGACTTATATCCCAGCCTCAATCTCTTTGTTGTTGACACAAATGAGCAGCTCAATGTTTGCAGAAAAGTTTTTATTCTATTCTTTATTTTATCTATTTTAACTAATATTTCTCTCTCTATGAATGTGTCTGTCAGACATGTGTATGATAATGTGGGGCTGAAAGGAAACAGGCACATCTATGAAAACCCTGGAGAGCTTAGGGATGAGACCCCTGACCTCATACTGGCAGTCAAACCTAAAGTGCCTCCAGAGCTAGTGGAAGAGGTATGAAATGCACAATTTCTTTTGTCATTATGACATTACTTTTTACAAGCTGAAGGGAGAAACATTCATTTGATTGATTGTCAAGGCAAGCAAGAACTGATCATGTGATCACAATAGGCACAGATACAATGAAGCTTATTGAGTTGTCAACCTTTTCCTTCACCAAGACACATTACTTTATTGGAACAAAAAAACATACCGGTAATGCCCTTTGATTTTGTGTTTCTGACCATCAGATAATATTATCAAAAAAAAAGTATATCGACTAGATAAAGGAGCAGACAGGTGTGTATTACAGTATATGCATGTGATGAGGGTGTAATACTGTAGGCCCGAGGACGTTTTTGACTTTTAGTCCATGACTAACAGTTATCAATTACGATTCAATTCATGATTCATTGAATTTTTGCAAATGCAGAATAATGCAATGCTATTTGATCTGATTGCAATTAATGATTTGATTCTATACTTTTTAAGTGCACTTATAGGATTATGTAAATGATCTCCTATTGTGTCTTCAGTAAGAAAGAGAAAGAGACAAACTGCTATAGATTGTTTACTGCACCAAGCAACTTGAAAGTAAACATTAAATATTCAGGCTACTCTGAATATATATAATGGTTAAATCTGCCAAAATAAATTAAAAATCCATATTCCATTTAAAAAAAAAAATATATATATATATAGCCTATATATATAGCCTATATATATATATATTTATAGAGAACGGAATTCAAAGTTTATTTATTTTAAAATATTGAATAATACTTTAACGAATGATGATTCATTCTGGGGGGTTTTGACGCTTGGCCGAAACTATTCACTATTTAAAAAATGTTTCAAGATGTTGTAATCGATGCATTAAGAATGTAAGTGAATCATTCACCTCTGCTGTGACTCTTACTTAGAAACAGCATTAAAAGCATGACCAACTTCCAGAATAGCACAACAGATTTCAGCTCCTGAAGCATGGCATGATCTGCTGCTGTTGTGTATGCAGGATCCTGCCTCCCACACAGAGGGCAACTGATGGATCAGCTTGTAGCTCTCTGTGTTTGGAAAGTCATTGTAGTGTTTTTAGAAGGGTTTTTAACCTCTGAGATCCCTCTCCCACTCTCTCTCTCTCTTTCCTTCCTGTATGTTCACTGTTCCTCCCACTTCATCTTTCCCTTCTTCCCCTCATAAAATCACTTTCTCTCATGCTCCCCACATTTTCTCTTGTCATAATCATCTTAATTTTTATTCTGTTTTAAATGCATGAGTACATTGTGAAATACTTATTTACAGAAACCTATCACTGAACACTGAGAGCCACAGCATTTGATCACTGGATTTACAGAAATCATTTCACTTTTAAGAAGTGTTTTCTCAAAATTGAAACATTGCATAGCCTATCTAATCAGCATCTAATCAGGTTCAGGGTTAGTACCTAGATATTACCCAGTTATTGCAATTACTATAATAAGTTATTATGTATTGTTCATGGGGAACAGGACTGTAAAATAAAGTGCTACCAGTAACTATTTTGTTATATGCAATTACCATAATATTTTGGTCATTACACTAATTGATCGTTTGATTCTTGCTCTGTCTAGTTTGGGCCTGATCAGGGGACTGAGGAGCTGCCATCGGTCAGTGATGTGACCATGAGATCTGCCTGCATGGAAAGTGCAGAAAGAAACTCTAGAGCTCTGAGCCTCCATAACTCCATCACTAAGAGTAAGTGTTTCTTAATGATACCACAAAACATTATGCGGTAAATGTATTATTGTAAAATTAATTGTGTAGTTAATGTTATAAGTTTAGACCTCTGTTGCTACAGCAGGCCAATATTTGCAGTGGGATATTAAAAAAGCACTTCCACAATAGCCGTGTTTTCACTGCAGTGCCAAAAGCGAGCGTGATAGTGCGTGCCAGGGCCAGTCGTGTTTCCACTGTCACTTCCGGGGCTTGATCAGGCCTCATCGGGGCTTCCTCGGGGCCAACGTCCAGGGGTTTTTGGCCCGCCAAATACCTTGGTCCAAAGCGAGCCAACTGGGGCTTGAGGAGTTGTCATGAACAGAGGGAGTCAATACCGCTGCTCTGACAGCCTTAGGTGAAAGCCGACACCACACCTCATAAGCAAGAGAATTAGCCTCAACTATCCACTTGCTCACAGTCTGTTTGGTCGCTGGTGAACCTTTCCAAGGCGACCCAAAACGGACCAAAAACTGATCAGACTTTCTCCACAGGGCATCTCTGTGGACATAAGCGTCCAGTGCTCTGCCTCTCCTGGACTGACGTCTGGAATGGAGGAGGACAAAAGGCTTGCAAGACTATAGATTGTGCAACATTAGTTGGAACCTTAGGCATTTAACCCGGTCTAGGGTGCACAACGTTTTTAACCATGCTGGGCACTTATTCTAAGCATGAAGGGGAAACTTACAGAACTTTCTGTCTATCTCCTGCTCTCTTAAGAGACGTGATCGCCAGTAAGAACACAGTCTTTAGAATCCGAAATTTCTCTGCAACAAAATCGGGGCCAATATAGGCTCGAATGGTGCTGTGGACAGACCTTCTAGTACCAGAACCAAATGCCAAGCCCAGAACCCTTGCGTGGCTTTCGGGCCTCATCCTCATAATAACTTAGGAAACGAGACACGAGTGGGTTTTCTCCCCAATGACTCAACACCCAAAGGTGCATGGGAAGCAGCTATGGCCACCACATACACCTTCAAAGTGGAGGGGTATAGCCCTGCAGGAAATTGGTTGATCCCCCTCATTAGCCAAACCCACAATTTCCATACTGGTCAGGTTGATAAGTCGTTCCCCCTCCTTGAGACAAAAGATCCCTCTTGACGGGAATCTCCCATGGAGGACCATCCAGGAGAGACATCAGGTCCGAGAACCAAACTCGGCCCCGGGGCCATCGCTAGAGGAGGCATTGAGTCTCGGTGGCCCCGGATACCCTAGTTGCAGCCCTAATGGAGGCACGTGTGTGACGTGACTGATGACTTCATCAACACAGAGACAAAGAGACATTATTAAATGTCATTTTTTTATGTTAAAGTATTGAAAATGTCACATCACATGCCTCTAATATTACTGTATATAGGGTACAACAGGGCTAAAGGCGCACCAGGGGAAAAGGCGCCTTTGATTTTATTTTCCTCTAAACCACTAGATGGCGCAAAAACTTGCAGCAGCACTTTCCAAAACCTCCACAGTAACACTTCCTATGTTAACACTTCCTATGTTTTAGAAGATTAAATACAACCCAAAACTAAAAAACAGACCCGGCCTCTATTTGAGACCGGCCTTTATTTACCCAAACCTGTAGCCACACCAGGCGTGTAAAAGAGACAGGCGTCTATTTGGGACTCGGCTATTATTTGAAGTTTTACGGTAGTCACATTTATATTATTTTTCATAATTACTTATAAGTCCTTCGGATGAGACGTTAAACTGAGGTCCTGACTCTCTGTAGTGGTCATTACAAATCCCAGGATGTCCTTCAGAAATAAAGTAGGGGTTTAACCCCGGCATTCTGGACAAATTTGCCCATTGGCCTCTCAGGGCCTCCTAATCACCCCCTATATATACTGATTGGTTTCATCACTATGTCTCCTCTCCACCAATAAGCTGGTGTGTAGGGACGTTCTGGCGCAATATGGCTGCCATCGCATCCTCCAGGTGGATGCTGTTCATTGGTGGTGGTTGAGGAGATTCCCCCCTTCCATATGTAAAGCGCTTTGAGTACCTAGAAAAGCACTATATAAATGTAACAAATTATTATAATTAATTATTATAAGTCATGCATTTGCTTTTTCAATGCGCATGCTTATAATCCATTATACACTGATTTATTTGTATAAATAAGTCAGTCGTATGTTTCCATGAATGTATTTACAAAGATGCAACCTGCATTGCTATAATGTTATTATAGTTCAGATTTCTTTCTCTGTCAAATACGTGTATATATTGTTATTAATAGATGTGTTTTGTTCTTATAAATACCTTTTGTGAGTGATAATACAGTTACTAACCTCTATAAATGCATAATTGAATCTGAACCTGAAGTTGTGCTCATGATACATTTTAAATTGTTTATTTGTAAATGAAATAAAATAAAGAAGAAAAAAACACAGAAATAGTTCATACAAACAGTTGAAAAATGTATCTTTTTTAATGTTACATATTAGCAAAACATGACCTCTAATGCAAACATTAGCCATTAAAGACATACTTGTACCACTAATTGGTGGGGCAAATAAGTGTCTCTGGAACTATTTTATATTTGATCGTATAATGGATTATGAGCATGCACATTGAAAAATCAAATGCATGACTTATAAGTAATTATAAAAAGTAATATAATATTTCACAATATTACTGTTTTTTTTTTTTTTTTTTTTTTTTTTTATCAAATAAATGCAGTCTTGGTGAGCAGAAGAGACTTCTTTTTCTGCAATCATACACTATGGAAGTAGTGAAAATGACTTATGAGCTGAAAAATGTATAAAATATAATATATAATGTATTTAGCTATTTTGGTATGGTTTCAGCTGTTAGGGTTTTGCTCTGTACATTAGCTCAGCTTCCTTTTGTTCTTTTGTCTTGGCGACAGGGCGGCTCTATTCCTCCTTTTCCTCTGGGAGGTTTCATTTTCCCTTACTCCTGCATAAGCCCTTCTCCTGTAAACGCTACCTTTCTAAAAAAATAAGCTGATCTACGACCAGCCTCCCATCCATAAGTAAATTCGGCAAGCTTTAAAAGATTCGAATCAAGGCATGAATGGCATTGACGTATTAAAATGAGTGTAAAGCTTTGGACAGATGGGGGCCAGGCTAGGGCTGGTTGGGATAAGGGGTATTATATGGCCTTAAATCAAGACGCTGTCTCTGGGCCATCTGTTCGGTGCTGCCCCTTGTTAGTTGAGCGGTTACATCTCTCCAGGCTCTCTTTTAAAATGCATACGGGTGTGCATGCGTGTTATTCTCTTTACTCAGGCCTTTTTAAGCCAATCCCCAGAATGTCAGTAGGAACCTTTCACTTTGAACAATTTGGGGGATGGCATCAGAAGTAATTTGAAAAAGATTCAAAACCTAGCCTCAGCTACTGCAAAAAATGTTGCTGCATACCCCTCTGACACTGGGTAGTTGCGCCCCTGCTAAAGTGTACTTTTCACAAGGCCATTTATCCACTACAACGGCTAATTTACACACAAATTCCACTAATTTGAACAAAATTCACAAAGGCACTTTCTAGTAGATTCCAAGAAATAATCAAAACTAAATACTTTCCAAAGAGCTCTTTTTACAATATATCTTTGCTAATTTCAGTTCTCTCAGAGACAACAGATTCATCTGAGGAAGAGTGGCAGTCGATTGCTGATCTGGCCAGCGCCTGTCGGAACATTCTGGAAGCTTTGTCTCAAGAAGGTGAGAAATGACAATTTTCAGTGGATGAAATGTGTTTGAGCATGTGAAAGTCTGTTTAGTCTGTTCACTCAAGAATGCTGGTCTGGTAAATTTGCAATGATAAGATGGAATATTACTAAAGTCATTTCCTGCTGGGTTTCAGATCGGAAGTCGGGAGATGGAACTCAAGAGACTATGACCCAGCCAGGTCAGACGGAAACCAAGTTTAAAGACTTCAAGGACAGGTGAGAATGACTGTGCCATGCATTCTTTTGACATTCGATTATACTCACAACATGAGCAGAGACACAACTCACAGAGAACTATAAACTGACCTGCCAAAAACATTTACAGTATTGCACTGTTATTCAACATTGAGCCTTTGAAGTCTAAATGCTCCAACAGAATACACATATGTTGCAAAATATATATCATATGATATATCACACCATGTATTTGTGTTCCTTTGTGTTCTTCTTTCTCTCCCTGCCTTCGCAGTGACTCGCCTGGTCACCTCGAGGAGAAAGTGTCCCAGTTAGAGGCCATGCTGAAGCGACTGCAGGACGACCTCCAAAAGGTACTTTGTCCTCTGTGGGTTTGTCACAGCACAGCTCTCTCTGTCGCAGCATACTTCCCACACAGTAACCCCGTTCAAATATCTCCCATTAAATACATCCACCCATCCTTGTCTGTATATCTGCCCTGTCCAGTCCTTGCCCTCTTCGCTACTTCAAAGAGCCACTGCTGCTTCACAGAGCCAATCAAACAGAGGGACTGTAGAGGTAGGGCGGGACAAGCAAAAGAAACCTGTCTTGTCATTGAGCAGGGTGAACAGAGGAGATGAGAAGATTGCTGGAGGGACAATGGGCAGCCATGCTCACTCTCAACACTAACCGACCAATGGCAGTGAAGGCAAGTAGAGCATGAGATTTTTACTCAATCAGTAACAAAAAACAACAACATGTATGACAGTTCTCACTTGATTAACATCAAAATGATGCGGAAGTTTAACTCAAGGATGTGAAGGACATACAGTATGTGATATAAAGTTGAGAAGCAAAGCCTAAGCCCATGTCAATCAAAACACATTTATGTACTTTGGTGAGCGGCTGTGCAACGATTAATCGTGATTAATCACAATCAAAATAAAAGTTTGCGTTTACATAATATATGTGTGTGTACTGTGTATAATTATTTTGTATACACACACATGCATGTATATATTAAGAAATATTTGAATGTATATACTGTGTATAGATATTTATATATAATTTATATTATAAGAAATATTAATATTTTATATACACAATTTACTTAAAGGTGCTCTATGTAACTTTTCTACTAAAATGAATTCTTTTTTTATTGCCTGTGTGTGAAGGGGTTGTAATCACACATTAAAATGATCCACTTGTCGAGTTTTGCTATGTTTTGCTACTCGGCTCCCCGAGTTATAGCCGTTCGAAATCCGGGGTCCCAGCGAACGGCGATCCGGTAGGGGGCATCCCCGAGGCCCGCCACTCTAGCGTTCGGGCAAGGGTTCCCCTGGGACCTCCTCCCCCGAATTTGAGCTCTCTGGGTCTTTGCGTTCCAGAGATACGAGCGATTTTCTTCTGAGATCGTGACGTCACCGGCGTCTGCAATTTTGCAGCGCGCCCGATGGTTTTCTGCTAATATCTCCGCGAAAACACCACCAAAAACTATGGAACTTATATGGTTCTTTCAGCTCGACTAGATGGTCCCAACGAGCTCGGTGCTCGCCGAATCCGTCTAGTATTCGCCGAGATATTTGCGTAATAGACAGTATTGTCTATGAGTTCGAGCACGAGCGCTCTTGTAAAATTTGGTTGCAATCTGAAACATCACCACTAGAGGCCGCTAAAAGTTACATAGAGCACCTTTAAATTTATACATGCATGTGTGTGTATTTATATATACGTAAGGAATAATTGACGACAGGCCATTGAATTATTAGAAAAATAATGCACACCCGAGGTGGTAATGTGGTCACGACGCGAAGCGGAGTGGCCGTTACACCTCGGGTGTGCATTATTTTTCTAATAATTCAACGGCCTGAAGTCAATTATTCCGCTTATACTACAGTTACCACACCTCAAAACATTGTTCAGATGATGCATTTCAAGACGTTTGTCAAGTTTTTGTCATTAAAACGCTCTTGTATGTAGGTCTAATTTCTTACGCATCTAATCCCATGCCTCCGTTGCTAATTCCAAAACGTCATTTTAGAGTTAATTAACGGAGGTTTGAGCCACTGATAGCAGACTAGTCAAGTCAAGTCAAGTCACCTTTATTTATATAGCGCTTTTTACAATACAGATTGTATCAAAGCGCTTCACAGTGATAACATGAAAACAATATAACAAAAACAATATAACAAAGTTTGTTTCTAAAAGAAATTGCGTCAACGTCCACCTTAAGTAAGGAAGATCAATAATATTATTGAATATTAAATGTTAAATGTCCCCAACTAAGCAAGCCAAAATCCAAGGCAACAGTGGCAAGGAACCAAAACTCCATCAGGTGACAGAATGGAGAAAAAAACCTTGGGAGAAACCAGACTCAGTCGGGGGAACCAGACTCAGTCGGGGGAACCAGACTCAGTCGGGGGACACACTTACGACTTGCTGAAACATTCGAAGACTGACTGTTTCCATCGACTGTAGCAGGTCTTAAACACAGACTGTGAATAGGCTACAGACTGGACGCGCTGAACACGCGTTTGGGCATGATCAGTCATAAGTATCAAATTACATTCATAACTGGCCTTAGTCAGTGTGTCCCGGCTTTATGCAGTTATTAGAGAGAGAGAGAGAGAGAGAGAGAGAGAGAGAGAGAGAGAGAGAGAGAGAGAGAGAGAGAGAGAGAGAGAGAGAGAGAGAGAGAGAGAGAGAGAGAGAGATGTTGCAATAATGAGACAGAAAAGCATGTGCGTCAATATTATTATTTATTTATTAATTAAATTGCTTTTAATTAATTCGTTCATTCTTGTTTTCTATAATTGACAGTAGATAACCCAATAAATGAAACACACATAGCCCTTTTAACAAGTAGGTCTATCAATAATTATTGATTTGTTATATTATCTGGAATAATTGCGAAAACCCAGCAGGACTATCAATTTATTTATATAGCCTATTCAATTTAATTTTCTATTTAGCCTATAGATAGGACTACATACTTTATTTATTAAAATGAAACTGTATGTGTCCATTGATTGCAAAAATTGCAGATCAAGCGCATGGGGCTGCATGTTTTTTCTTGTTATGAATTGTATCCTATTTTCCGTTATTACAGTTAACTACGCGCAGTGATATGGACCTGTAATGCGGTCAAACCTGCCTGGAACTGCTTTAGCCCTGCGTTTCCCTGAAAATAATTGCACACCTTAAAACGTTCTCAACCAATCAGAAGCAAGCATTCAACAGCCCTGTAGTATAAAAAATAATTATGCACAGTACACACACACATATATTATGTAAACACAAACTTTTATTATGGATGTGATTAATCACGATTAATCGTTGCACAGGGAAAAACACGCATTCTATGAGAAGCAGGAGACCCAAACAGAGACAAATACATCTGAGCTTGTTGAATGGATTCATTCAGAACAATTCCCTGATATACTACGTTTTTATTCTCTCTTTTTTTTTTCTCAAAAGATTCCCACAGGAATACTTGGATTGTAAAAGACAGAAGATAGCATAATCATACAGAGCATTCAGAAACAAAGAAACTAAGAGAAAAATACATTGTAAAATAGTGAAATCATTTTTAATATTTCTTTGCATATTTCACGCAAATCCTGTACACAAGAATTTACAGTTGTAAATGTGTCTTGATTCCAACTGGTATTAATATTCAGACCCTGATTTACTAACATCCCAAATAAAGGGAACTAATTCTACAAATCTAACAAAATCACACTAATAACCACAGCATACATAGGTTGCTATCATACATGGTTTTTAAATGATAACGATAGCAACGTTTTGGCATCTATACATCTTTATTTGGCACAGCCCTAAAACAGGTGCTATGTGATACTAGTGACTGGAAACATTTTATCGTATGTTGTTTTCCATTCACACGTGAATCGACAGTTTAGCATATTCACCAATTCAAATGTTTAAATGCATTTAAAGGGATAGTTTACCCAAAAATGAAAATTGTCATCATTTACTCACCCTCATGTTGTTCCAAACATGTTTGAGTTTCTTTCTTCTGCTGAACACAAAATAAGATTATTTTAAAGAATGTTGATAACCAGAAGAAGAGAGCAGAAATAAAACTCATACAGGTTTAGAACAACTTGAGGGTAAGTAATGACAATTTTCATTTTTGGGGGAACTATCCCTTTAAGTGCACTTAAATGTGGTTGTGATTGCTGACACTTTGCACCGTGTGTGTGGCTCATTTTGGATTTGTAAATGACATGTTTAAACATGTCTAATGGACAGAAACCATTCTTAGTAATGTGAGGATATGTTGTTGACCCTACAGATTTAAATAGAAAAAAGTAAACACTTTACAAAAAAATTTGAGTTGTAAAAATGAGCTAACTGTATTAGTTAACATGAACTATCACTAATAAATACTTCTAACGCATTTATTAATCTTAGTTAATGTTCATGTCAAAATTTACTAATACATTATTAAAATCAAAAGTTATATCTGTTAATGTACCAGAGCTAACATGAACTAACAACCAGCAGTTGTTTTATTAACTAACATTAACAAAGATGAATAAATACTGTAACAAATGTATTGCTCATTGTTAGTTAATGCATTTATAATGTTGTGTTATAAAGTGTTACCAGATATTCTTAAATGACATTTTTCATTATGAGGGATTTATTGATTTAGACCAGTTTAGAAACAAGAATCCAATTCAGTTCACAATTTTCTTTGGTTTAGAATAACCCAGTTTTAAAAAACTGTTTGAGAATTTTAGAATATGTCTACTAATAATAATTTATTAGAGCACGGAAAGCATACCGGTAATCTTATAGAAGCCCCGAAGGTACATTTTTTCTATTTTCCTATTTTTCTGCTGTGCTTAAAAACAACAACACTGGGCAAGAAAAATCCAATAAAAAATATACAATTCAAATCAAATGATTAAAATAACTGGAGCATTATCTATTCATTAATATTATTTTTTATTATGGTGTTGCTTTAAATATGATCTTTTAAAATAATGTTCCTAGGTTCAAAACAAGTTAAGTTCCATTGACAGTATTTTTGGCATAATATTAATTGCCACAGAAAATAATTTTGCCATAAAGTTTGCCAAAAAGGACATTTTACACACTTTACAACATCGTTATATGCCTGTTTCATTTTCCAATTTATGGAAGCTAAATTTCTGTTGAGTGTAGTTTTTGAAATTGTAGTTTCAATTATATTGAGAGGCATTTGTCAGGTAAAAGTCAGACTTTGAGCTACAAAACTGTCTTTAAAGAGCTACATGTGGCACTCAATAGATGAGTTAAGGATAAGCATAAATCTATGCAAACATTGGATCATAGAATTACTGCAGACCATTAATACAAAGACCACAACCGTATGAATGAAGTCCATGCACACATAATAACGCTATAATATAGAAACATAATATATTATGATTAAGGCCCCTCAGCAGGATGAATATAGCTGATCTGGGGTCTCAGGTTTGTTTGATCACATTATCGGCATAAGGTCAGGAAGGGAAAGAGAGGCTGAGCATGGTTGACTGCATAATGTCCCACAGTTATCCAGCACACTCATCTAGGTAAACCTTAGTCTACTAAACCCTTTGGTCACCTTGAGATTGAAAGTGTGGGCTTATAAAACAGTATTATACATGCACAGATAACAATCTATCATCAATTACTACCATTTTTAGACGCATCATTACTTTTCATGCATGAATATCACTCAGGATATTTCAGACACATGAATATTGCATTATAATCCATGTATTTTTCTTTTCTTGCTTATTGAATGCTTCATATCACTGATGCAGCCTGTGTATGCATGTCTGATGCCACTTTTGGGCTGTTTTTACAATCGAGAGCTAATCAGAATGCAGGCCCTGATTTACTAAGATGACAAATAAAAGCTTGCAAACTTGTTCAATCTACAATATACAGAACTATATTCCAAATATCTACTGTGGAAAAATTAGTACACCCCTCAGTTTTGTAGCTGGTATTGCATCCATTTGGCAGAAATAACTTATAATTTATTTATTTATTTATAATTGTCTATCAGTCTCTTACATTGATTAGAATAATTGTTAGTCCATTCCTTCATGCAGAATTCATTTAACTGCCTTTGTTACTTTTATTCAGCAAGAATGCATTAAATTGACCTTTACAATGTTCATATTTTTAAATAAATACTGTTCAAATAAAGATTAGAGAGGAGAGGTTTCTTATATGGACTGCTTCAAGTCCCCAAACAGCATTTCAATTCGATTTTCTATGGTTAATGATCAAACCAGACCAGTTTACTGAGGTTTAAATATGTGGCCTTCCAGTTTAATGTTCTAATTTGCACTTCATAAATGTAGGGGTGTACTAACTTTTTCCACACAAGAAATAGGACATTTTTCTAAGGTGTACATTGCCAAATATCCATTTCAAGTGTTATTTATTAATTTATATTGCCCTTTGATATATTGAAATTGTTGAAATGCCAATCCAATATCCAAAAAGTTTGGGGTCAGTAAGATTTTTTTTTTAAAGAAATGAATACTTTTATTAAGCGACAATGCATTAAATTGATCAAAAGTGTCAGTAAAGACATCTATTTTCTTTTTTTAAAGCTGTACTATTGACCTTCATTAAAGAGTCCTGAATTAAATGTATCACGGTTTCCACAAAGCTCTGCATCACAGGAATAAATTACATTTTAAAATATATTCAAATAGAAAACAGTTCTTTTCTATTGTAATAATATTTCACAATATTACAGTTTTTAATGTATTTTGATCAAATAAATGCAGCCTTGGTGAACATAAGAGACTTCAATTCAATTCAATTCAAATTTATTTGTATAGAGCTTTTAACAATACATATTGTTTCAAAGCAGCTTTACAGAAAGCGCATTTCAGAAATGTATATAGAAAAAATAGAGTTAGTTAATCATGTATTAATTTAGGGCATAACATCGCCGGCGTTGAGTCGTCTCTTCACAGGCGTTTAGTCATCTCATCGCAAGTCTCCGTGAGAGGCTGGATACAAACTGGAACTGACGAACGCTATTTCTGATAACAGCAGAAAAGCAGATGGGAAATAATTAGCATAGCTGCTGTTCATAATATTAATGTATTCGATCTGATTCAACAGCAGTATAAAAGGTAAGCATTATGTGAATGCTTGGCTAAAGAGATGCGTCTTTAATCTAGTTTTAAACTGGGACAGCGAGTCTGAGCCTCGAACAATATCAGGAAGGCTATTCCAGAGTTTAGGAGCTAAATGTGAGAACGCCCTCCCTCCTTTAGTGGACTTAGATATCCTAGGAATGACCAGGAGCCTCGAATTTAGTGATCTTAAAGAACGCGATGGATTGTGGGGCGATAGAAGATCCATTAAATACACAGGAGCTAAACCATTTAGGGCTTTATAGGTCAGTAGTAATACTTTGTAATTGATACGGAACTTAATTGGTAACCAGTGTAGAGATGATAAGACTTCTTTCAAAATATTTTCATTCTCGAAACCTTAAAAAAAATCTTACCAACTCCAACTTACCAACTTTTAAAAGGTAAAACCTCATATGCAAACCTTTAGTAAATCAGGGCCTCAGTGTACGAACCTTTAGTCCTCATTTATCCACTTTTTGTATAGCAAGTGATCTAAGGATCATTGTTTGCGTTGCAGCATGTACTGTAATAGTGTGTGGCATTCGCTGGTAATGTGTGTCAAGCAAGCCATTGACTTCAATGGTCGCCGTGATTTTGCCAAGTAAGACATGTTCCTAGATCAACATTTTTTGTTGATCCTGGAACAACAATCCTGTCCAAAAACATAGTTTTAACCCTATCTCTACCCCTAAACCTAACTCTATCCATAACTTGTCTCTAAAATCAGAGTGAAATGATAGGTGAATAAGAATGGTGTAGAAGCACCTAACCCTTGTTGTAAGCCTAAACTTGACATTAACTGTAAACCTTTCCCTCAAATCTGACTGGTTGATTGGAATTTTTTTTCAGGATCAACAAGGATGTTGATGCAGGAACTTGTTTTACTTGGTGAAATCACGTCCGTCCGCCTGTCTTTATCTGTCTCATGCAGTACCACCAACATATTGAGATATAGTAAACCCTCTTGTGGCGTGGATATGTCCTATCAATACAGAGTGAGAACGCTCGAACCTGAAAGACATTATGTTTGCATGCTTCCCACAGGAGAAGGAGGACAAGGCAACGCTGCAAGCAGAGGTGCAAAGTCTCAGGCAGAACAACCAGCGGTTGCAGGAAGAGTCCCAGAGTACCGTGGCGCGACTCATTAAGGTCACTGAACTGCTCTGCAATGTCAACAAACCCTGCTAGCATTGAAGGCCAAAACATGGCAGCAAGCAAGATCAACAGACTGATCTAAAGGCCAATGCAAAACTAGCAAACAACGCCCTAAAAACTTCTCTTAAGTGACAAGAACATTGACAAGCCTTTCTAGAAAAGTGCACGAAAACAAACTGGTCGGCTAAAGTACATTCTTCCTCAAAATACACTTAATATAAATAACAAGTCATCCAAATCTCTGTTTCACCCTAAACAGTTTTCAGGGCTAGATTCACATATAGTCCCATCACTGTGAAAGCTTGTTAACAATGATAGCCTTCGGTGCAAGAACCAGTCTCATAGGAAACACTTAATCATTACTGTTTTGGAAGCATGCCCTTAACATCGGCTAATGTTGTTTACAAGCAGTTCAAAACCATCTGACTGATCCAAAAGTAATTATTTGCAACCCTCAGACCTGACGAAGACATTTAGTGACATTAACTGTTCAAACTCATATTATACTTTTAAGTATTTCATTCCCTACATAGTGAACCGTGTCCAGATACCTAGCAATACATTCCCCTTACCTGTGTTGAAATGGCTTCAGGAGTTCCGGACCATGTACTTCAGTGTATATACAGTTTCTTACTAGAAGAAAATTATTAAAATATCAGTGTGACTGTAACCCTCTATTAACCATCACAGTGTCAGAAATAGGTAGAACCCGATCTAACCTTTTCTGTTGGCAATGGGGTAAAAGGCTGGCTTCTCACTTATCTCTGGAGTGAATATGCGAACACCAAGAGCGATACAAACTGATGGTGAAAATCAGAAAATACGTGCATTTTTGTAAGCACATTTTTTGTTTAGGACTACCCTTGTGAAAAAGAAGTGCGCTTAATTGTATTGAATGTGCACTTGAAGTGTACTTCAATACTTAAAAAGTATATTTTTAAAATCCTGTACTTGCAGATAATATTACTGAAATAAAAGGCCACTTAAGTGTGCTTAAAGAAAGTACACTCGTGATTGTTTCTTGTGCACGTTTTAATCATAGATTTAATAACCTTTTGTCATGTTAAGTTTAACTGTATGTTATTAAATAAGTTTAAAGTTAATATATTTTAAATATATTTAATTACATGACATACAATTTTCAATAGAAATGATGTTAAAGTATATTTTATTTTACCATAAATGCTTGTTGGTATATTCAACAGTACTTTAACCATATTTCAAAGACAATAGAAATCATTGTGAAATTACTTTGAAAGATGTGCTTAAGTGGGTAAAGTTCAGCTAACTGCATTTAATATAACTTCAAACTAAAAAACTTATACTTATACTTATAATAAGTATATTATTTCTGTAATAAGTACTCTTTATTTTAAAAATATGCTTTTAAAAGTACTTTTTCACAAGGGACAAGTCAAAATCGTGTTCTGTGGTAATCAACAGCATGTTGTCAGTAGAGCTTGAAGCTGGAATATTCCTTGTTTTAGCACAAATAATTTGAGGCAACTCATTACTGCTTATAATAGCCATTTTTTTATTTAGACTCACTGGACACTTTTTTTTAATTGATCAATGATATTTACTGACGCATACCAGAGAGAAAAAAAAGCTAATTTCATGCCTTTTCACGGTTGTTTAGCTGTGATTTAAGCAATTGGACAAAGTGTCTGACATCTGAAATTTTACATTCTCGTGAGTGTGTGTCTGTGTGTGTGCGACTGTGCGCATGTGTTGTTTTTTTGAAGTCTTATGTCTGATCCCACTGAATCTGAATGAGCCTTGCAGACACTTGCTTGAAAGACATTGATTTGAGAAGAAAATAATTCTTAGTGTTAGGTTACGAAGGGAAGCAATGACTTAAAGTAGTACATTTCTTTTAATAAAGATTGCTTCCAATTTGATTCAAGTGTTTGCTGCTCACAGAGAATTAAGAGAAGAGCCAGACCAGTTCTACTTTGTTCTCACACAAATTGCCTAGAGTGCTTTACACTGAATTGTGAGACAGCACATATTTATAAAATTGCTTTTTTATTTTCCATATAATATCTCTCTTTACCTCACCTAAAGGTGCACTGATAATAACGTGAAAATGTGACGAGAAAAGAGCATATTGACTGGACTCACACTCATAAAACAAGCCGGACTGAAGTTGAATGAATCACACGGCACCACCACAAACCTACATGCAAAGGGAAACGAAGCAAAATGTTAAATATCCATACGTCATACATGTCTTCTCCCCTTCAAATGTTGAGGTTTTTTATTTTAGAGTCACTGTGATAACCTGGTACCAGCAGATTCTGATGTATTACAATGGAATTATAAATCTATATCTTTATTCCTCTCTGTGAAGAAAATGTAGAGCCAAAATAAGTGTTACTTCCCTCTGATGTGTGTAAGTCTATATCCAGATGGAGCTGGAGTTTACTGATTAGTTGTTACCATTAGTGGAGAATTTGTTGAGTCTGATGAATGCAGCGCGATAATTGTTACAGACAGGAATAACACTGATGCAGCTTTTATGCAATCAGTAATGCATTTTGTGGGGTTTACTTAGCAAAAGAGCAATGTAAAAGAACTATTTCCTGTTCATCTGTGTGCGACATAGTCTTTTAGACAGGAGGCTGAGAAAGCGCGCGAGTGCAACAAGCAATTTCTAAGCCACCTTCTGTATCTGTGTATGTATTTATAAAAATGTAATAACTTATTAATCTTGAAAATGTGGATGTTATTGCTAGATATGTATATTTGAACTGGAAGGGAAGAGATGCAAATTTGTGATCCAATGAATGTTTAATTTAATTTAATTTTAAATTGTAAGAGTATTAAGGCATGACATGATAGCAGGTCATATTTTGATTTACCTGAATAATAACAACAACCGTCGAGACACTTTCCGTAGTGGAAAACTACTCTCTGAAATTACACTGGAAACAAACTCAAAGGGACAGTGCGAGTTACAACCGTGGCTGCTTAAAAAATTGTGTGACATTCCATCTTTTCATGTTTTTAATAATTTTATCATTATTTTTTTACTGTCAAAGCTGTATTATACCTTTTGTTCGATACTGAAATGTAACTCTTAACTGCTGTGGTGGCCCAAGTGGTTTCCAGTTTCATTGTTATTAATGATAGGATCAGGACACTTTATCAGCAAAACCAGAATTAATGCATTTAGACTAAATTACTCACAGACACATTTGTGACTTGGAAATGTCAAATGAATCCCTATCTTTTTTTTATGGCATGGTATTTCATGGAGCCATAAATGCTTTTCATCATATAGTAATGCTTACTGTTTGATTTATGTATTAATGATGCAATTCTGTTGTTTACAAAATGTTGGTCCTTTTGATTTCAATGCGACTTTTAAAGTACAGCCTGCTTTCACTGGAACAAAGCCACAGTCACTCCAGGGAATGAAGCCATGCAAGTCATGCAGATAAACTAGCATAGTCCACTGGAAATTTGTGACTGGATTGTTGTAGTGCCAAATTTTGTATTGTTCCACTACCAACAACTGTGGTATTTACAGACTGTACAATTAAAAGCCTCTTACAAACTATCCGAACCACTCCTAAGAATGTACATTTTCCACTGTTAGCCGAACATTCCTTGATGTGTTGCTTTTTTTCTTCCATGTCATTTTGCTATCCATGTCATGCCCATGGACAGATTTACAGGTTAAGCTTAGGTCTTTGTAGTTACTATACACTGATGTCAATGACTGTTCTAAATTGCCAAACCTGCCAACAAATACCATTATATCTACTAATCCCATAAATAATCAGCTCCTGGAACAGAATCACTAGTTAGCAGGCACTTTTACAAGTAAGTATTGTCACATTAAAAATTAAAAAATGTAGGTGTATGGCATACCACAAACCCACACACTATGCACACTGGTCTGTAGAAATCTGTAAAGAATTATGACTGGACCAACAGGAATACGGCGTCTAGTCAAAACATACTAAGAAATGGTATGGTGATCACTGGAGCTATACTTGTTTCTTTTAACAAATAGGGATCAAGTATTGTTTATGTGAATCTGAGGGATCCTGGCAATAAAAACTGAACTTGTTTCTGTATGAGCTGGTGTCAGAAATGTATCAAATATTTGTCTATTGAACTCATAAAGCATTTGCTATAGTTTTGTTTCACATCAACACAATCTTTTTACACACTGAAGGATGTCCAAAAATTTTTACTGTAGTAAATGAGAGCATGCAACTCTAAACCTTTTATGGTCTATTTAAATGTACACATTTAAAATTAACAATTTAAATAAGTCAATACCTCAATCATCATTTCAAAACTTTTTTTTTGTCTTACCCTGATTTGCTAGCCTATTATTAGTGTTTATATTTTAGAATGGATGGGATGTTTTTCGCGAGAAATTGCATGCTTCACTCACCTCTCGTCATATCAGTAAATAGAGAAAAGTTATTCCAGCTACTTTGGCTGTGTTCCAATTAAAAGACTGCATGCTTCAAAGGACACACCTTCGAAAGCTGCGAAAGTCAGACTGAGCATTGTTACAGTAAATGGGACGGTCGTCTAGCCTATAGAGGACTATTCATATCACCTAGCAACTGTGACAACTGCCGTTGATGAATGACAGTAAATTTTGTACTAGACTTTTTTTTAAAGTAATATTAAACTGTCTGAAAACAAAATAAGGTTTACAAATTGTCTAAATAAGTTCACCACGGTCCATTTCTGTATATAATTGTCACAGAATTTGGCTGAGGATGAAGAGCATGACGAAGCAGTCAACTGAAATAGTTTTTAATTCTAACTTCAAAAACAATGAATAGGAGAATAACCGGGAGATAACACCTACAGACATGTGAATGCAAATCAATACAGGAGAAAGACCAGACTGAAACTGCGGGCTAATATACAAGGGCAAACAAACGAGCAAATGAGGTAATTAACAAGGCACAGGTGAATGGGATGAATGAATGAATCTCATGGAAAACTAGGTGAAAGGAAAACTAACACAGAAGACAAAAATCCCAAAACACAAAGGCAAAACAGTCCTGGAGGGCAAGTCAAGTCAAGTCATCTTCATTTATATAGCGCTTATAACAATGTAGATTGTTCCAAAGCTGCTTTACAGTGATAATAGAAAATCAAAGCAACAGAGATTGTTATGGCTTTATGACAGCTCTAGAATAAAGTTATTTTCCAGCTAAATTTAGTTTTAATTGAAAACTTCCGTTGCAACGATAAGTTATTAACTTATGGCGCTTTTCCACTGCATGGAACGGTACGGCTCGGTTCGGTACGGCTCACTTATGGCGCATTTCCACTGCATGGTACGGTACGGCTCGCTTCGGCTCGCTTTAAATGGTACCTGATCTGTTGAGGTTCCAAGCGTACCGTACTAAAATGTGACGTGAAAACATTACAGATCACTGATTGGTCAGACAGACAGAATCGTCACTATCAGCGTCATTGTATTTGCGACACGAGACACTAAACCCACTAGTCTAGATCAAGGGGGTAATCCACCAGCCGGAAACTGAAGTCTCCCCGGGGGCCGCCATTGGCTAACAAGCCTTCACCTACTGTTAGCATCCCATTGACTCCCATTCATTTTTGCGTCACTTTGACAGCGAATAACTTTACATCTGAGGCGTTTAAAGACTCCATTTGTCCATTGTTTATTTCTAAAGAAACACAACAATGTATAAAAGGCTCCATTACCTTGTATCTTACGTTATGGCCCCGTAGAAGCCGTTTTTGTACAAATAGGCTAACGATTGCGTCATAACACGCGACTCTCTGTCGCACAGTAGAGAAATTACCGTATAGACAGAAGTAGACGCTCGCGCGCAATCGGGGGGACGTGGAGGCATAAAGTCAAGGGAGAAGCCCATAGAGAGTCATAAAGTTGCTCCTGCTGCGAGCTCATGGACAGCTAATACTCACAAACTC